TCTAACACTTATTCTCACTTCTGTGTCCTTATGAGGTGCGGGGAGGGGAGGCAGTCTATTTCTCCCAGATTTGTGGAGGGGAGGGATGGAGAATCTGGGAGGAGGAACAGAACAGGAGTAGTTCCAGCCCCTTCTCTGCTCTGCCTGCCCACGAGAAGGCCTTCTTCGGTTCTCTAGGTGGTAAGCTGACCTGGGCAGGGTTGATCCCCCCAGGGGATGAAGGTACACCTATGACTCCATCTACTTCAGTGGTCAGTCATCAGAACGCCAGGTCAGTGGTGGTGTGCAGCTCTGCTACATGCCGGTGACGAAGCTGGCGTGTTGACATCTGCCAGCTGATGACCCAGAGGAGCGAGAGGAGTACGATAAATTGTCTTCCTCCAAACCCAGATATGTGCAGGTAGTTCTGACTTCAAGTAAAAGCAAATAAAGATAAGTGACTCAGTTAACTAAAACATACACACACACAAAGAAGCCCAATGAAGGCACATATTTAAGTCCAAAGGAGAAAAGTGCTGAGTGCTAGACGGGTCACAAAGGAGGGGTGACATGTATCTCTTATTTGTCACTGATCCACATCGGAGGCGCCCGCCTGTAGCGGCACATTACAATCGCCTAGGAAGCATGAAAAATACCCACGCAAAAGCCTCATCCACAACCGAAGAACCTCCCCACGTGGTTTTAATGTCAAGGCTGAGAGCTATCTGTTAGCTTCATTTCAGAAGCTTCTCATTCAATACCATGGTGAGAATCTGTATTTATAAAGAAGCTTCCGGAGGCACTGGGAACATGCAGATGAATAAAAAAGTAGTAAGCATTCATGAGAAGCTTACAATGTAGTAAGGGAGAAAACTGATTGCAAGGAATAATAGGGTAACAGGCAAGTTAGAGTAAATGTGAATATGAGAGGTAAAGACAGCTCAAGAAAAAAATGTATATAACAGATTAGAAGTACTGACATGAGTGTCTAATAATATAACACTGACACCTAAAATTACATGTTAAATTCAAATAAAATGTAACATCTAGTAGGCCCAAGCCCTTTAGTAAAAATCTCTCTGAGTAAGGGTGCTCTAAAGTGAAAGCAGTGTAATGCTATGTGTGAAACTTCCCTTAAATAATTTAAAGACAGTCCCTCCTGGCCAGATAATTTGAAATGCCCCCAAATCCATGTGACTTTCCTCATCTTCTCCTGATACTCCTACTTTTCCCCATCACTGAGTCATGAAAACACAGACATGGCTTTAGGACTTTGGGGATCCCAGTACAGACTTCCTTCACTACCTGCAAGGATCGGGAGAAAAGCAGCAGACAGGCAGGGTGGTGCTGCCTGGAAAGCCCAACTTTTCTTTAGGCATGAGCCAGCTTCAGTTTTTATTCAGTGCATACGTCTTAACTAACTCTAGACACCAGAGTGAGCTTTCTACTTTGGTTTTTATTTTACTCCTTTAACCTTGCACTTTGGAATTTTCCCCTCTTCTGTTTATTTAGAAAGGTAAAAAAAATCTAAACACTTCCCTCTCTCCCCTTCCTTCTCCTCTTTTCTTCATTTTCCTTCCTCCATGCC